TGGGCATCCCATTCTCCCCGGTTGCTTTCTTCGCTTTGGGCAATGCTCCCAGGGGGGCCATATTTTCCAACACTCCGCCACGCACCAATCCAGCCTCCTCGAAGCTCGGCTTGTTCTGTACAGACGGTTCCAACCATCGCTGCATAAAGGAGCGCGATCCCTCATTTGCGGAACTCCGTGACACCTCCAGTGGCTTGCTCACAGTTCCTCCATTTGGTTGCGCAGGGCTCGAATATCGCGAGGCCGACCGTGAGGCCCTCGCACTGGATGATATCATTGTTGTGTGTGCCCAAAAAAAAAATTGGCCTCTTGCCGTTCATAGGTGTTGGGGGTGCCCGTCTTGTGCGCGCCCCTTGCGGTGGTCGCGGGATCAAGGCAACGCACCTACTCAAGCCTGGCAAGTTCGTCAGCAACGGTTGCGGGACAAGAAAAACACGCGGCCACGCGGGACTCCGGGGCTTATTCACTTGCTGCTTGCGCTGTAGCATGGATTCCAGCTACCGAATCGCGCTTTTTCGGTGCGTTTGACGCGGTCATAAGGAAGAGAAGGAGGAGGAACGTCGTGGAGGAGACTTGGGAGGGTCAACTGGGTGTCTGGAAATCTGGATGCCCGGGGCCTGGAACGTTGACAGGCTGCCGAAATCGATACCGCATAGAGCTGTCTGGTGGGAGCACTTTGAGGCGTGCGAGGCTTGCCAGGAGGCCCTGCGGCACCTGCGGCCGTGCTATGCCACGCCTGTGCAGTCAGTGTATGACAGGGGGGGACAGCGCTCAATGCGCACTGGTCATGACATCTCGGCGCCCGGCGCCTCAACATTCAACATTGAACCTAGTAACATACTAGTTGCTCCGCAGAAGTCGTGGGAACATGGAATACGCGAGCTGGTGCTTGCTCAATAACGTCAGTCCCTGCACTGCAGACAAACAACACTTGGCGCACTCGCCGCTTTAGGCCGTGGTGAGTGGCACAATAGCCAGGATTGTCCTCGATTGTCCACACGTCCCTCCGGCCCTCCACGTCCATATCAAAGTTCCTTAAAGTTCCTCAAAGTTCCTGCTCTTCCTCCATCCGGCTTCCGCCTCGTCCACGTAATCTGATTTCTCGTCCGACTGTCCCCTGCCGGTTTCTCGTGCAGCTGGCTACGTATCCAGGTACCTATCGTACGTAGGTCGCTTCAAAAATAACTTTGCAGAAACTTGGGCGCGAAAAAAGGGGGTCGCAAATCGTCTAGTATTCCCTGCGTTCCAAAGGTAACTAGTAAGTAGTTATAAGCAACTAGCGAACGCGACCCATGATCCCATGCACCGGGCTCAAATGCCGACCAGCGTTGAACATAATAATAACCAACCTGGGTACCTTGGCTACGTACGGAGTAGGCAAAATGAGGTAGCGACGTGCCTACTAGGTGAGTATGTCGTTGGTAGGCCTAATACTTGACCAGTACATACATGCATACATACCTAGGTACACAATCCTCTTCTTCATATGCCCCTCGAGATGCTCCAGAACCCCCGGCTTGCCATGTACGGATGTGCGGGCTTGGCTGCCAAGCACCATGGACAAAGACCAGTTGATAGATAGTACTACTACTGCAGCAGCGTACTCCTTGCTCAAAGATACCGAGTAGTGATTACTCCTCGCTTTATTTATTCCACAGAGCATTTAAAGCGAACGGGTTAATCGACAACAACAAAGGCTTGCCCGAGGCCGTCAATTCACTTTCACACCAATGGAGCCATTTCGTCACCTCACTCGATCATCGGCCCATGAATATGTTTGTGTCAAGCGCCAGAAACAGCGTTAGTTGTCTAGATATATTCGTCTCACCAGCCTCACACGCCACGCTCGCTGTGGAGACCGCGATACCACCCAACCAGGCCAGGGGAGCCAAAATCCACGTCCTTGTCCATAATGTGCGAGACTTGCACCGTCACTTCCTAGCTGGAATCCCATGCTACAATTGCCCCTCAAAGATATTTCACGTTCCCAGCCAGTGGCGGTTATGGTTTACTTGTTGCCGCTCTTCCGCCGGCGAGCCATTGCCTTGTCCCTGAAACTCTGACAAGTACTTAAATACTCTTCTAGACATCAACCCTGACTTCCTACACTTGCCTTGCTTACTCGTCGCTGTCGTCGGAATCGTCATCGGAATCCTCGGTGGGGGCGGCGGCGGCGGCGGCGGCCTTCTTGGCGGGCTTCTTCTTCTTCTTGCTCTTGCTCTTCTTTCCGGTGTTTCTGGCCAGGGGCTGCTCCAGAATCTTGAGAATCTCCTCGTCGGTAATCTTCTTGTCCGACTTGACCTTGCTCAGATCAAGAGCAGGAGGGCCACCCAGCTTGGTGATGCCGTTCTTGGTAATGGCTGTTGCGACGTTAGTTGCTACTGTCTGGTAGCGCTGCGTATATTCCATCAGATGCTCTACTTACCAATGGTGGTGAGCAGGCGGGCAACGGGGGCATTGTCCTTGTCACCGACAAGCTCATACTGGCGGAAAACATTGCCACGAACGCACTCAACAACACCAGATTTGGCATCGCGCTCGTCTTCCAGCTGTCGCAGACTGAAGGGGAAGGTGCCAAACTTCTTCTGAACCTCGGAAAGGATCTTGCGCGAGGTAGGGCGCTTCAGGCCGTAAGTCTGCGTGGTGCGACGGTGCAGAGTGGCACGCCCATCCAAGGCCTTGCACTTGCCGGAACCGAGAGAGACGCCCATCTCGACACCCCAGACCTCGGAGACAGCGGGAACACCGTCGCCCTTGCCACCATCCTGGGGAGCAAGAACAATTTTCTTGGTGCTCTCAATCTCATTGCGGTCGAACAGCCATGAGGTGGTACTCTCGACAAGGTTGCACTCATACGCCTCGCAAACCTTCTCCAGCAGGCTGGTCATCTTGGCTTGGGTAGGAGGCTTCTGAGAAGCAGCCTTCGCCTTCTCCTCATCGGTGCCCTGCGCAAGGAGGCCGGGGGGGACCATCAACCGAAGAAGCAGCTCATTTGCATAGTGGGTAGCCAGAATCAGATCAGCGGGACGGCCAGTGAGAACCTCGTCCTTGTTTTCGCCCGCCAGGACGGTGTCACAGACAATGGCACCGAAGCCATCAATCTGAGCACCAAGCTGGATCTTGATGGGCTCGTTGGGCTGGACCTCCAGAGCGGCTTCGCTCTCATCAGAGGTCAAGGGTGTGTAAGGGGTGACATATGAGGCAGGCGAAACAGTGGTAGGGTGAGAGAAGCCTGTCATGCTCTGTGTCAGCAAACCAAAGGAGCAATTCGAAATGAGCGGCGCCGACTACGAACCCTTGGTGATCTTCTTGCCGCGATAAACCTTGCTGACCTCTTCTTCGAGTAGCTTGTCACCCCTCTGGCAGATGTCGACGATTTTGGCACCGGGGACACAGAGCTTAGAGACCTCAGCAAGAACCTTTTCAGAGATCTGACCAGCAGTCTTGTACTTGGTCAGGGTATCGGGGTTGTTGAGGGAGTAGTCTATATACGTCTGGTCAGCGGCCGAGTTGACAGAGGTCGTGTGCCCATTCTGAGCCCAAAGAACACATGTGCAGCCTTGTGAAGAAGCTTTGTAGTCGTCGTCGCCGTGGTGTGTTGTTGGCTGGCCATGGCGGGGTAGATTGTTTTCTGTGCGCGGGAAAGAGGGGCAGCACTTGAGCTCCAAGGTCGAGACGGAGCTTCCAGGCTGGGTGCTGGAGGGTGCTGGAGGGTGCATAGATACATACCAATGGCGTCCTTCTCGTCTGACATGATGGGCGACGCTTAATTGCAAAATACTGACTTCTGGTAAAGGTACGGGGTGTGGTGTTGGAGACGGGAAGAGTGGGAGTGGACAGACAGCTGGATACCGGCGAGTTTTGCTCAGGTCTGGTGTCGCTGAAGAGGGGCACTTGGCACTTGACGTCGCATGTCCAGAAATTACTGTCGGGATTTTGTACTGGAACCCAATCTAGCCCTGCTTGCGCTGCCGAGTAAACCCTGGACTGGGCCGTTTCCATGGTTTCTGTGCGTGTCGCGTGCATCGCATCGCTTGGGCCGGCCAGCCACAACAGACCGTGGCGGACTGTGGATATCTATCTGCTCTGTGCTAGCACCAAGCTCATCAAGTTACCGTGCATCCCACAGATGAGTGCTCGCCTTTTATTGTGCCGCGCTGTATGCTTTGCTTGGGCGTTGCTGCTGCATCCGTATCAACTTGCTGCCTACCCTGTGGCTTGATGAGCTTTTGCAATGGGGTCATCCGGCCATCTCTGCCCCGTACCATAACCAGGTCTGTCCCTGGTGAATCAGATGTTATATTCTGGGTTGGTTTCGGAAGCCTGGTGCCTGGCCGTGACTTGGCAATAAGGTGCCCATCGTAATCGTGACTGGTTGAGGCTCACTCGTGCCATCACGGTGATCTCAAATCCTTGGCAGAGCCTAGTCATCAACAGGGGGAACATCGATTGAACCCACACACTGAGAATATAACACACAGATGTATAGATTTAGTGCCATACGGGACAGTTACCGAAAATATGCTGGTTAACATGGTACATACACCATGACCGGAGCAGGTTTCTGGTAGTTACTCCGTATTTACAACAAAATCGATGAGAGTCCTCCTTCCGCTTCTGATTCCCAAGTGGAGATGAGCTAGTTGCGACGGCGCTCTCTAATTCGTCCGTTGCCACCGGCCCGTCGAGTGCAGGGGGGCAGGTACTGGTACAAGATACAGGAGTGATCTGTACGAGAGTCTATGTAAATATACTTATCCTGCTCAGCCTTCCGCGCCGATTAGCAGCCAGCAATAGGAGCGTGCCGGTTCCAGTCCAGCACGAAACCCTTTCCCAAAGCCATTTCAACATCAGAGCCTCGTCTCGTCGCCATCGCATATACCGCCCAACCCAACGATCCCCTGCGCTACGGGATAAATCACAACCGCTGCGCGTCTGATTGACGCATCTGACGCTGCCGCACCGTTGCGGCGACATCGCTGCGCCCAGCAATCGCGACCATGGCGACACAACCAGCCACCTCGGAGCCTGCGCCGGGCGTGACGCCGACCGCGACGTCTGCGACATCAGCACCGGCTGGTGATGAAAAAGATGCTCTGCAAGGCTCAGCACCGGCGGAAATACCCGTACGCACAAAGGAGTCGTTCAACAAACTCATGGTCGAGCGTTACACCACGCGCGACGCCATCGCCAGCGCTGCTCTGGGCGAGCAGCTGAATCAGACACGGCAGTCCTCACAAGAGATGCGTGAGAAAATCCACGAGTACAGAATGGTGCGGAACGAGTACAAGCCTTGGTTCCCGCCAAGCAGGCTCTACGGCGAAGGGTACAATGGATTTGGAAACGGATACACCGAAAACCAGCAGCCAGTCTCCAGAATCATCTACCCAGCGCAAAAGCCACGACCCGGACGACGGACGACACCATCATTCAGGTTTGCTCGCAAGGACATGCTCAAACAGGCAGAGCAACACGAAGAGCTAGTCCCGCTACGTCTGGAGGTTGAGTGGGACAAGGTCAAGCTTCGCGACACGTTTACTTGGAACCTGCACGAACGTCTTTTGGCCGTCGAATTATTCGCAGCGCAGCTGGTCGAAGACATGGCGCTGAAACCACCTGCAGCACAGCCCGTGTTTGAGCAAATCGTTCAACAGATGCGGGAGCAGCTGAATGATTTCTATCCCTTTGCGTTCGCAGAGGAAGATGCCCTCGACCCGGAGCTGCCGTACTCGGCCTACAAGAACGACGAAATGCGCATTCTAATCAAGCTCAACATCACAATTGGCCAGCACACCCTGGTAGATCAGTTCGAGTGGGAGATCAACAACCCCAATAACTCGCCAGAAGAATTTGCCGCCAACATGGCGCGCGACCTGTCTTTGTCAGGCGAATTCACGACGGCGATTGCACATTGCATTCGTGAACAGACGCAGCTCTTTACCAAGAGTTTATACAGCATAGGACATCCGTTCGACGGGCGACCGGTCGAGGATTCGGATCTCGTGTCCGCATTCTTGCAAACCCCTCTTCCCGTCGTCTTCCGACCACAGCAGCAAGCCAAGGAGTATGCGCCATACATGTACGAACTCAGCGAAGCCGATCTGGAACGAAACGAAATGGTATTTTCCCGCGAACAGCGGCGCCAGAAGCGCTCCATCAACAGACGAGGCGGCCCGCAACTCCCCGACCTCAGAGAACGACAAAGGACCATTCGTACACTTATCGTTTCGTCCGTGTTGCCTGGTGCGGTCGAGAACGTCGAGGACAGTCGACTCTACAAACGAACGGCTGGCACAAGCAGGAAGCGGACAGCCCGTGACGGCGAGATTTCAGAATCCGAGGAGAGTGACGACTCATCCCCCGACTCGCCCGCCCCTTCACAGATGGCTGGCACGGCGCGCACAAGGGGCATGCGAGGGGCTGCGTCGGCTGCGCAGCAGCGAATGGCCAATATTGGCCGCTCTGAAACGCCCGAGACTGGGTCGTTGCATCACCACGAGACTCGAACATCGCGCCGTGGCCGGGAAGAGACAGAGGAGCCTTCTCACCTTTGGGTTACACTGAAGGTGAGCAGGGAGAAGCTTAGAAGAGTGATGAAGGGCGACTATCGCGACTTGAAGGCGCCTTCACAGCCCCAGACACCAGTCGTGGCCCACGCCAGAGCGCCAAGTGCATCGTCAAGCATACCCAAACCAAAAGTGCCATTCACGCCAACTTCGTCATCATCTACACCTCAGCCAGCAGCTGCACCAGCACCGACAGGGAGCGGTTCCAGTTCTTTTCCTGCCGGCCAGCTCGGACGTCTCCCTGCTCCTCCACCGGTTCCCTTTTTTTTCTCGGCAAGAACATTCCGTACAGGTCAGAGCCTAACATGCGCGTCTCATCAGCCGGAGACACCAGAGTGGCTTGTCAACGCCCTCAAAGACCTAGAAAAGCAATACCCCAACGGAGACAAGTTTGAAGCCATCATGAAATACTCGTACCTCGACCCCGTCACCGAACTCCCCGTCCAGCCGCAGACGCTGCCGTTTCCAGAAGGCGTGAAATACGCCTGGCTCCCGCGTATTCGCTGTCTCGACTGCGCCACCAAGCTGTACACCCCTGGCCCGGACATGACGGCCCAGAAGTTTGAAGCGCACTTGAAATTCTCTGGCCACCGGGCAAAAGTCAACCAGCGACTTGCGGCCCAAAACGGCGGCGCCTCGGGGTCATAGAAATGCCCCCATCCCCGGGTGCCCTCATCTTCTCCAAAAAGAGGGACTGAACAAAAGAGAGGAAAACAAAAAAGACTGTAGATTTCCCGTTGGCTTGGCGCTTGAGAACACAACCCATTGTACATATTTTTTTGCCGCATGGTTCTTTTTTCTTTTTTTTTCCTTTTCTTTTTCTTTCTTTTTGGGAAGTGGTTTGGATTCTTTTGGTTGGCTGGTTGGCGTACCCATTTTGTCTTTGTGGCTGCCGTTGTTTATGAGGGCAGGGTGGTTTTTTTTTACGAGGAAGAGGGCGGAACATGAGGGATGCGTAGAGGATAGGATAGGCGAATTGAACCCTTCGAATTCGTCCACTCTTGTCCCGCGTCTGTGCCCCTTTGCATGACAGACACTCTTCATCTTGGTGTTGTATGGGCTTCGGCTAACACGGTATGTGAATTTGGGCATCATGACTCCTATCGTAACACTACTTGGCCCCCCCCCCCCCTTCCCTAAGTAAAAGGTCCTCTCTCGTACACACAAGATGAACCCTACAACAAAGTAATACTAACACGCAACTATTGTTCAGTCCTATTCTGAACAATGACAAGCGAATTCCAATTCCGCGACCTATCCATCCGTCCGGACTGTCCACTACTTCTGAAGAATAACGAGGAGAAAAAAAAGGGTGCTCAGCACCAACTTATTCGTCCACTTCCATCTCTGAATCATCCCTTGTCGCACGTCCGCCTCGTCCTCTTGTTCTTGATGTGCGTTCTAGTTTAGCCAGGACGCTGGCTTTGACAGCAGCCTTGCCCTTTGGCGAAGAGGCGATTTTGGAGCCTTTGCGCTTAGCCGCCGACTCCTCTTCATGCTCCTCTTCGCCCTCGCCTTCTGCCTCTTCCTGTTCATCAGCGGATTCAGCATCATCATCGGACAGCTCTGAAGCCTCGTCACTTCCACTCTCCTCTACATCCGAGTCCTCCTCGCCATAGTCCCACTCTGCTACACCCTCTAACATTTCTTCCTCATCATCCTCGTCAGCTCGCTCCTTGTAGTCTGATACCTTGTGGGTGCGACTACTGCGACGGCGCTCGGATGGGGCGACCGAATCCTCCTCCTTATGTTTCTTGGGCTTGGGTGCCTTCTTGGGTTTGGCACTCTTCTTAGATGACGATACTTTAGAAGAATTGGTTTTCGATTTCTCCCTGATGACTGTCTTGACCTGAGTCCTTGGTCGCTTTGCTGGTGGGTCACCGTGTTCGTGGATAGACTTGCGCTTCTGATCCATTCTGTTAGTATTTTGCTAGTGCTGGGCAGTTGAGCGTTACCGGGGCGTTGATGAGGCGCTCACCTTCTTGCGATCCATTGCACGAAGCAAATCATCCAACCTTTCGTCAATCTCATCAGGAATATACAGCTTCTTTGCAATCTGCTGTGCTACCTCGGCGGATGGCAGAGCAGTATATAACCCTGACGGAACGCCAACCTTGTCAGGATGCGCTTGGAAGATCCAACCCTTCCTCTCCTGATACTTGCGAATCACGGCTGCGGCGAGATCACTAAGCACGTACAGATTATCGCTGGCTTTCGGGTTGATTCCGTCCTGTACCTGCTTGACCCTTTCCGTGTATTTGTAGATCAACGAAATATTGTCCTCCGTCGCAATAGCGTTGAGGTAGAACAAGAAGTAGTTTGCGAAATCAACCAAGTCGTCCATCTCTGCGCTGTAGTCGGGGTGGTGCGCAAGCAAGGATATTAACCGGCCCATGAGAGCTTCCATTACCCTTTGCTTCTTCTCCTCGTAATATCGAGCTCTAGATCGTATCCATGTCTCCACTCGGTTTTTGAGATCTGATGCAGGCTCGAATGCGACCAAGAACAAGATAATGTGGAATCTAGGCCTAAGCTTTCCGCGAGTAAGGTAGTTTTGCAGCTTTTCCATAAAGTGTCTGCGAACCTGGAGTTCACTGTCCTGTACCAACTCTGCCATCTTGTTGAAGCTTGTCGGTTCCAATCTCTCATCGTACGCCTTGACTGTGCAGAGTTTCAACATCAACAGTCCAGCTAGCAGCCGAAGGCGCTTCTTGTGGTGCAATGGGGTATCTTTGGTTTTGCAGAACTCGCCCTCTGCGACCACAAACGTTTTGAGAAGCTTGAACACAACTTTGACGCGGTCTTCGGCATTGGGCTCCTTTTCGGTCGCAAGAGCTTGGTTTACCAGAATTCTTAATGAGAGGCATTTGGCTTGCAGCTCCTCATTCATGTCCGCATCATCCACCCACGACGGATCCTTCTCTGTGGCATCTGTCCGCACTTGGCGGAGGATCTGATTGATCGTCAAGTCACGAATAGCCTCGTCCGAGTCGGCCGTTACAGACGGCACGAGCCGTTCAAGTTGCGATATGGACGCCAGCCTGGCCAAGAAGTGCGATGAGCCATATTCCAGGCCCTTCATGATGTTCCTCAATAAGTTTGTAGCCGTTACTTTGCTCTTGTCGTCACCCTTGGCCAAGAGAATATTGACGGCATATTTCGCAGCTCTGGGTGGAGACGCGTACTGAGCGTAATTCATTAGTGATTGCGTAAAACCTCGGTCATAGTTGATGTCCTTGGGATACTTCTTCGCATACGAGGAGTACGCCTTGAGAATATCAACCACAGTTGGGTCATTGGTTTTCTTGTCGCTTGGGACGTGCTCAACGATTTCACGTCGCAAGTCCTCAGCATGCGCCTTGAAGATGTCCGGGTTTCGCTGCGATATGTCGTTTAGTACTAAGTGGGCAACAGCAGCAAACCCATCCTTGTCACTCTTGGAATAATCCATGATGGTAGCAAGATGGCTTCGGTTGAACATGAGGCAACTTGATCGATAGAGCAGTGGGATGAGCGTATCTAGGCAGACAACTGCAGGCGTCCCTTGCAGCTTGGTAATGAGCTCACTGATGGCTCGTCTAATAGTCTTGAAGTCGCTTTCGGACTCGATCGCGTATTTAACAAGCTGATAGCTTCGACGGTCGTTGAGTTTAGCAAACTTCTGCAAATCTCCGCGAACCTTTAATGGCTCTGGAAAGAATCCGCCTAACCACTGGAGCGTTTTGGACAGGCTACTCTTGACCTTGTCCTCATTCGCGTCGATGACTCCCCCATTATATGCTTCGCACTGTTGGATAAAGATACCAACGCCCTTTGCAAACTGTGGTTGACGGGCCTGCATGGCGAAAAAGGCCTTTTGTGCGGGCACATCTAGAGACTTTAGCATGAGAAGGATCCTTTCAGCACGAATTCTGTCCTGGTCAGCAGCAGTGACACCACCCTTACCCTGGGAGCCAGTGGCACCCTTGCCGCCTTTGCCTTTGACCAGTGGATACTTCAATGGGACAAGACACTCGAATAAGACCCGGTCGAGGAGGACGTTGAGGTCGGGGTCATTGGCGTAGAATGCGTTGATGATGCGAGACGGCACCCCGGACAGGCATGCCGTTACTGCCTCCTGACCGTCTGCGATTTCTCCTGCCCCGACCGCCCACAGCTTTCCAAGCAAGACCATGGCATCGACACGGACCGCTGGCTTTCTGTCGCGGCAGCGATCAGCCAAGCTTGCAAATATAGACCCTTCTTTCTCTACTCCGCCGGTTACACCGAGTTTCAGAATGACGTCGCGGAAGGTGAAAAGCTCAATGGCCTTGACGGCGGCCAGACGCACTTTTTCTTCGCTGTCATTGAGTTTGTCCACCAGGCCCTTAATCAGCTCTGTTTCGTCCTCCCTACTCAAACCAATGCCGCCGGCGGAAGTAGACAGAATGTAGCCGGCAGCGGTGACCCACGCAGCTCGAATTGTCCCTGCTTTGTCGTTCTTTCTGCCAACAAAGTTGCGGTATGTGGCGTGATGAGTTTGAGCAAACGATTGCGGCGAATATGGTCTTGTCAATGCATTGGTTTCCGTGTCAATGACTGGAGGGGTACCAATTGCATCATCCATCAGGCGTAGGGGTGGGTAGGCTGCAGGGTCGAGTGTGGGAGGAGCTGGCGGTCCTGCTGCTCCGATGCCCGAAATCATATCTCCAAATGCCTCCGTGGCTATGAGTCGCAGGTGAACATTGTCGGCCGATAACTCGGCGTCGAGTTGGGGAACGACGTTTTGCAAAATGGTGGGAGCAGCTCGCCAAAGTTCTCGGATCAGCATATGAGCCTGCCGCAGGCTTTTCAAATCCGCCTCTGACGGACCAGAATGACTGTCCTCCTCATCAGACTCCTCTCCATGGCGGAAGCCATTGCTCTTGGTAGCGAATCTCGAGGCATTGAGAATGACGTCGCTAAAGTACTGGCTGACATATCGGGACATTTTGTCGGCGCAGCCATTGCAGATGTTCTTGGCCATGACGTAGGCTGCAGGCTCGGTTTTATGCAACAGGGTAGCCTGTTTACCATTCTGTTCCTTGTTGCGACCACCCCCCGGTGGCGCTGCTCTGAGGAATTGGCTGATGATGGCGTCGATGACGGTCGCGGGTATGCTGCCAGGGGATTCGTCAATCACCTCCATGAGCATCTCGGTGAGGCCGATCTCGACGTCCTTGGCAACCTGTTCCTCATTGGAAGCTCTGGAGCTTGTCGACACGCCATCAAAGGTCGAGTTGAACAGGCGCAACAAGAGGTCGTCGGCACCGTGGATTTCAGAAAGGAGCAGTATACTTTTGACGTCAGACAGAGACATCAATACATATTTGTGCTGACTATTGTAGGGATTTGTAGGGTCGAAAAGCGCGGGCAAAATGTCCTTGATAAAAAGAGTAAAGATCATCTAGACAGCCACAATACACGGGTCAGTATTTGGCGGGGAACGCAGAGAGATGTAGATGGATTAATTATATATGGGACAAGTGAGAAACACCCACCTTGAGTTGATCGTCCGTGAACGGCGCTTCTGGTACAAACAAACGCAAGATATCCACCAGACAACAGGCGGTATACGCCTTGACACCTCGATCCTTGTGCTGCAACAGGTTGCGATGCGCCAGGCTTGT